TTTCCAATCAGTTTCGTACGATTACTGATAAGATTTTTTTTAAGGTTAAATTTCCCTATATTAGTTTTCTCCGAATGAGCATGAGCTTGCCTGTTAGATGAGTAGGCCCAAGTTCTTAAACGGCCGGTTCCATTCAGCGCCTATCCGAGAGTTCGTCTTATCGTAAGATTTATGCTGGGCATAACCTCGTATTGAGGCATGATTCGCTTGACTACAAAATTACGAAGTAAGAAAGAAGTTAATCCAAAAGATTGCTAGCCAATTCTTCAAGAATGCAAACTATTTGCATTCACTATTTCAAGGTAGCTTGGCCAAAATATTGGAGTCTTCCCAGAAATATCTAACTCGGAACTACTTTTGTAGTTCTCTTCTCGTCACAATCAAATCAGCCTCTAGACGGCCATCAGCAAGCTAAATCAAATGCCATCGAGTCAAAGGTGGAAATGTCGCTGTGGCAAAAAGGTTATTGTTATGCATCCAACTGACAAGTGGTTCGAGCCAAGTCTGTCACTCTGGAGGGCCAAAGCTATAGGACTGTGCAAAAGCCACATTCTGGCCAAATGATGCCTAATAATTAGGGAAATTTTTGGCTGTCAACCTGTGGCCAAGTGAGTGAGAATTATGCATGAAAAGTAGACACTTTAAAACCGCAAAGATAGAGGATACAATTGGAGTAAAAGCGAGTATAAATTATCAATCACACAATTTGCCTTAGTCTGTAACAAGGTCTAAACTTGCTAAATTTGCAGAATATTTTTTTAGTCCAAAATCATTGTATAAGATATTGTTTAATTCGGGTAACATTAGAAAATCATAGTGTAACATATATATATATATATATATATACAGGGTTGTGTGTATATATGTACGTTATTAAGCACAAATAATTGTAATATTAGATTAATATTGACAGTAAAGTGTTACAATTGAGAGTGCATCATACATGAAATTTAGCTTACTTTACATATTTCTACCTCTCTAAGGTCTTAATGGCATGCTGTTTTCGGAATTTTCGTTCCTTGGCTAAAGCTAGGGTACAACAGAAACGCCACGTATCCAGACTTTAGAAGATCTGAGGCACAGTCTTCGTTTCATTTATTAACCAATTAGTCTACCAGAGCCGCCTTGGTAGCAAACTCAGGGGTCATATGAAGCGAGGTCAATTCACACGCTTGAGGCTTTATCATATCCATTGCAATTCTAAGTAGTATGAAATAGGCCAGATTCCCGTGAAGAAGCTCATAATCAGTGTTAGCCATTTAAATCCTTATTTCGCTTTCACACTTGATTGGCATCAATTTAACGAGAAAACTGTATTACTATATTATTCAGCAGAACGTTGGCGGAAGTATTGAATTGCATGTGTCTTTGTCGAGTTCGTAGCCTGAGGCGAAGAATGGCAAAACTCACTGATGATGCCGACTACGATGCCGGCTAAACGTTTGAGAATGTACCAAGTCCCCCGTCTGATGCTGGGAATTGTGAAAACTACTATGGTAGACGACTTCGGACTAGGTGCGTTCTACTAAGTCACCCTGACAACAAGACCAAGTTGCGACAACGAGGTCAACCCACTTCTATAAATCGAAAGACGACTACGACCATACCAGAAGCCATGCAATCTTGGTCTTCATATCTCATATTACTTTTTGTAAATTCGTTTTAACATGACAACCTATGCTGAAGGATGACAGTGAATCGTGTTTAAAGGTCGAAAATGGCCTAAAATGCAGGAAAGCCTATAAGTAAGACTTAAAGCACATCTTTCCTTTGGCCTCAAAAAGCATGTATTCAGCCTCGAATATGCTTTTTCAGTGTATTGCCTACCGTATCCTTATGTCCAGCCACAGCTGGACAACAGGTTCGACCTCGCCTCAACGTCTCATCACCAGAGGGGCATTGGTTAGGAGGCAAGAGGGTAGCGCCTTGAGCCAAAGGACGCCAAATATTTTTTCACGTCAGCAGACTTCGTTTTGTTGATAATTCTGCACCGACAGGCAACTCGATATGCTACTGATTTTCTCGTTAGTATTTGTTTCGTTTCGCCTCCATCTGGCGAAATGCATGGCGAAAATTAGGCTTTCGCATAAATTCGCTGTGAATAGAGTTTCTATTAGTCCAAGGCAGGCCAGTGTGAACTGATACATCTATTCCAAAATCAGACCATTGATAGAGCTGAAACACAATTACCACCAACGACAAAGATGAGGGGATAGCCGCCGACTCTAAGGCTAAATAAATATTCGCCGGATCCGCTATAAAGCCAAAGTGGCCCTCTACTTTTGGGCAAATTTTCTGAATCAAGCTGGCTCTGCACCTGCAGCAGATAAGAAAGATGCTTCAAGCAGGTAGGTTTGACAATCCGCTGCCTGATTAATGGGCTGCCCTTGAGCATAAAAAGAGAAGACTTCATTTCCCAGATGGCTACATTTAATTTCCATAGTACCAAAGGCTTCTTCATCCGGTGCAGCCTGGGCATCGCCAGATTCTCGTCAGCTCCACAAATAAGCTTTTCGATCTGAGTTTGACAGATTCCGGGCCCAGTTGTCCCATTCAAGGCCAAACAGGTCTGTGTTGATTACTATTTGGGACAGTGACTTGAGATAAAATCAGTGTTGAGACATATTATATCGCCTGGTGGTTACTGTAGAGTCCGGGTTCTATCAAGCTCAGCTCGAAGAGATAATTCTCCAAACTCGGAATGCAAGCCTGGATTGTATTTTGGAGTTAGGGTGTGCATAAAAGTTAGTCATCCTAGTTCGCATATTGAGATGGGGGACAGATAGTTAAATTTTTCCACAGTGACATAGTTGAGTCTTACGTTCCCACTCATTCCCAAATAGTCTTGCTTTCCTAAAAGTATTCTCACCCAGACTGGGCTGAACTAAAGTTTCGACTTTGAGCCCAAAGTGAGAATTGGATACGGGTAGGGTCACGTAAAATCTAAATTATTGGTCGTTCATTACCTAATGCGAACTATAGTGTCGAGAACTCCGATTAGACATTTAATAATAGTCGCGAAAACCCAATTTATCTGAATATTCGATTCTACACTCATTATCTGATCATCCGAATAGATACATTCCTTTAAAGCGCTTCCTTTTATCCTCTGGCCACTGCGAAATCACCCTATTTGGTTTAGGGTAATGAAAGACTGGCAGTTGAATTTTTCCACAATGATATGAGTAGAGCTGAAGTTTTCATTGGATTTAGCATAGTCTTACTTTCCCAAAAGATGTCCTCATTCAGGGTGGACTGCAGTTTCTACCAGTCTTATCAACCCTCCAAACAGGAGTCGAAACATGACGGTGCAGCGTGTAATCTCGACACATTAACCAGTACGCCACATTTCCATGAGTGCCCTTGGGTCACAGGGCAGCTGTGAATTTTAAGGAATGTCAGACATTTTCTATATCACATTCTGTGTGGGATTGTCGATAAAGCAAACTCATATTTGCTATAGCACTCAACGACATTAATTTTACGTTATTTAATAGGTTTTCGAGACTACTAGTAAATCACCCTATTTCATTTAAGGTGATGAAGGACTGGTTGCCCACTCTGGATGAGAACACCTTTAGGAAAAGCAAGGCTATGCGAAATTAAATGAAAACCTCAGCTCGACTCATATAAATGTAGGAAAATTCAACTACTAGTCCTGCATCACTTTCAACGAAATAGGGTGAATAAAACTCATATATCTTAGCATATTTTTCCTGGAATTAAAGCTGACTGTCTTGGGAACAACATCAACAAAATGTTCCGGTAATCCAATCGACGCCTGACCAAAATAAATCCATAATCGTATTCTGATGGAATTGACCTTTTAACCTACCCATGACACACTTTCCCTCGAAATGGAATTAAGACCAACAATTTTAAACCGAAAGATTCATTTTAGGCCAACTCTTAATGACATATAACAAAAGTATTACGGATTCATGGATCTTTATACATGAATAAAACCTGAGTTATAAAGAATGCCTCTTGATGTGCACTTAGCTTGAGTTCTTTCGTTTGTGGGGCTGGCAGGAAGGGACCCGAGCATTAGACTTGCCACTAACCGAGGCAGAATGGCACAATGTTTGTCATCGTTGGCTTATGTGAACGTATGCGAAGAAAAGTTGGGTTTCTAGGATTCTCTTGTTTCATAATTGTTGAGCTTACTTCCATTTCGAGTGAAAGTGTTGGGTGAAGAGATTCGTAGGTCGGTTCCACCAGAAGACGACGGCAGATTCCTCTTGATAAGCTGTCCATTGGCTTTACTGGAAGATTCATGCTGACTCTGTTTCCGAGGTAATGGCCTTCGATTCCGTTGAAAAGGTGCTAAGCTTTCGTCCGTCATATGACGAATATCATCAGAACAAGGTATCATCGTCACAACCAACTTCAAGCTAACGAGTCACCGACAATTCTCTAAAAAGCGTGTGAACGTGTCCCAAGCACATTATTTTGCAATCCTGATATTTACCAGTTTAAAAATTATCCTGCACGCAGTGACAAGCTTAGTTTGAGCGAAAAACCCTTCTTCCTAAAACTAAACAAAACAAAACTTGAAACAGAAACTGAGGTAATGGGTAACAAAGACAATTTTTCATTACCAGGCAATGAGTCATTTGGCCACTTTATGCTTATCCCCGCATTGTTAAGGGGAACTTCATTTAGTATGAGTGCATGAAGAAGAGATTAGAACAATACAACGGGATTCATCCACCCTCTTCTGGTGAGATCGACCTATGAATCACTTCATGCACTTTCATACGAA